AGTAATACCACATAAATATGTGTAATACCACATAAAAATATATTATATCACTTAAGTATGTGTTATATCGCATAAATATGAGTAATACAACATAAATATGTGTAATACCACATAAAAATATGTTATATCACTTAAATATGTGTTATATCACTCAAATATGTTTTGAATACTTAAATATGTTTTTAATCATGTTAAATATTTGTTATATCATTTAAATTTGTGTTATATTGCCTAAATATGTGTAAATTGAGATTATGTGTTTATAGGTTTTCACTCAGACCCATATGATGCTGTAATTACCTTTGTCTTAATATAGTTATTCTTCTATTTATAAAATTAAACAGCGCTCCAGTTAGTCCACCTGTGGAAGGTGAAATAATCAGTATAAACACTCCACAGTGTCAAAATATGTCAGAATAGATTAATAACTGACCCATATCTTCTAGTCCATATAGATATAGAAAACTTACCCATGATTCCCATCAATATAAACACTAATAGTTCATACCAATCATATTTTAAATTCTGTAAAATAAAAGTTTGAGCATATAAATTGTCAGATATAAACAAATTTGGGTATTTTTTTAATATATCTGTTCAATATTCCTCATTAGTCTTTTTGCTTAGATGCACAACACAAAAAGTTTGTTGAGCAAATGACGGTTATGAATATTCATGAGCTCATTAATATTCAAAATGAAAACTCAGTTATTTCAACATGTTTTACAATATATTAGCATCCTGTACCAAGGTTCTCCCCAGCAGTCAGAGAGTGCAGGACGACTATGAATATTCAAGAGTTCATTAATATTCAAAATTCCAATATAAAATTAGCATATTTGATGAAAGATTATTACCTAGCATATTCATTCAATATAATTACTTACTGAAAATCGTCCAAAACTAATCAAGCCTGGATAGTTGAGGTCACCTGGATGGCCGTGAACAGCGCTGAGTATAACATTCACAGAAAATGTTGACACCATGGAACAGAAAAACTGAAAAAAAAATAATAGCCGACATATACCAAGTGCACACTAAAGCAGGTTTTTTATTTTAAAATAAATTATTAATTTATGCTATAAGGCCAGACTTTTATTATCCTTTGTTTCGTGAACCCGCCGAATGAACAGGAGCCGAAAATGAAATAAAAATATAATTTTATTTCAGTGTTATTTCTCACGCCCGCTGACTTGTAAGTGCAATAAATTGCTAAAAAAACTTATTTTCATCCTCATTTTTTTTTCGCCCGCCGCATAACAAACACATGTTGCATTTTCGTGGGAGTATCATGATCAAAGTACCGAAGTCTCGCGCAGATGAGAAACAAGGTTATACATGGAATAAAATTTTATTTCATTTCTTCTCTCCGATCAATGATCTCACTTACAATTCTTGTGAATCACACAAATCTAATGGAAAAAAAGAATTAATTTTTTTTTTTTTTTTGCCCTCCTCAAAAAAATTGCCTTATAAAAACTTGAGAAACAAATTAGGTAATTAATATGCAAACTGGAAAATTCTTATGCACACATTCATACTCACTATTCTCCATGTCAAGTTTTGATTCCAGAAACTAGCACCTTCTTCTAGAGTGAACAACACACCCCCTACTGGAGCACCAAATGCTGACGCCACGCCGGCCGCTGCACCCCCTGATATGAAGTCTCTCTTTTCGGTGTCACAGCGAAAGTATTTAAAAAGCTGATAGAAACAAATGTTTATATATGTGTTATATATATTTCTTTTCAAGTCAGGACAATACAACAGGTAATATGAGAAGAGAACGCACTCAATATGCTTACCGCCCTCTATAGTTGGTTTTAGTTTCAGTCACATGGGGCAAGTTAGCCAATAGAATCAGTGCATTATACATGAATCATTAAATCTTACTTTAAAATCTAACGATTTGAATCTTCTGGATCTTGCTTGCGATATTCCAGCAGCTACTACAGAACCTGAGTGAATCATTGGCCCTTCCTGAAAAAAAACACACAAAAAAAAAACCGTTGCATCTGTAACATCACAAGATGGCAATGTAACACAAGAGAGCGCTGTACCAAATGCCAGGCACTGGGTGGACGTGATAGTGTTACCAATATATGTAGGTCAATCAAGGAACAAGCCAGAAGTCAGGTTGTGTAACTGGTGTACCAATACCCCAATATAAATCAGTCAACTTAATTAGCATATCCTGATTGATAACGTGTTCATAACATCGGTTTCATTCAAGAATGATTTGGAGCATTGGATTTGGGTTCCCTGCAGCACAATGCGAGGGCACTATAGCTGACAAAACACATTGTTAAGAAAACTGATGAACTCACCTTTCCTACAGCTAATCCAGCAGACATAGACATTGCCACACCTACTGCTTTACAGACCAATGTCTTCATAGCAACAACATTGGGTATCTTCACACCATTTAAATAACATTTAATTTGAGGTATACCACTACCTGCAGCTACAGGCTGAAATGGAACAAAAAACACCAACTCCAGCATTATTATTGTATTGAGTAAGCACACAAATACTAATTTGCATAAACATCTGCAAGGGTAAATAATGGTAATTATATTATGCACATGCCATGATTGGGAATGATATATTCACAAAAACAAAATTATCAGAGTTCGAGATACTGTTCCTTTATCTTTACCTGTCATGTGTTTTGGTGACCCATGGCCTGTTTTGGTGACCTATGACCTGTTTTGGTTAACTTTGATGTGTTTTTGTGACCTATGACCTATTTTGGTGATCCATGACCTGTTTTGGTGACCTATGACCTGTTTTAGTTAACTTTGATATGTTTGGTGATCCATGACCTGTTTTGGTTAACTTTGATCAATTTGGTGATCCATGACCTGTTTTGGTGACCTATGACCTGTTTTGGTTAACTTTGATATGTTTTGGTGACCTATGACCTGTTTTGGTTAACTTTGATGTGTTTTGGTGACCTATGACCTGTTTTAGTGACCATTAAAATGTTAATAGTGATGTGTAAATAATTGCACTCACCGATCCAAAAACAACAAGTGCTCCTGCTATAAGAACTCCAACTATATTCATAGACAGCCATATAAAGAATGGAATATACAAACAATCATTGTCCACACATTTATTAATATCTGACGAATTATTAAGGAGTTAATTTATGACAAATCATATCTTTTGATTATTAGTATTCCTGGTACAAATTATCCAAGCATTTTCACCGACAGTCGAAAACTTCCAACAAATACTTTGGGCTAGTTTTTGAGACTCCCCTGAACTAACAAGATTACCCCTACATGTGTAACTATATAAATTTGGTGTTTCCTCGGCTGTTCGGTCAGCGTTCCACGGCAGCTCGCGAATAGCCCATAAAAATACATAATACAGAAGTGTGCGTCTTAGCAACATAGAACGTTCGGTGACGTATCTCTGCCCCAAAACATTATATATGGGATTGCAATTTGATGTAAATTTCCAAATCCTAAATCGAAAATTACAGTTTAGAAGTGTACTGTTTGGCTCAGAACAACAATAAAATTGAAGAAGCTTGTGAGTTTAAATAAACAAATATTATAAATCACAGTACAACAAAGGATACATTTAATAAGGACTGCGACTTTCAGTGATACAAGTTGTTCAACAGTGATGCCTATGCAAGCTGCTATAACACCAGTAAACACACCAATTAAGAACATAACCAGCCATTTAGCAAGATTCTTCTTTATAACACCCTGTAATAAAAACGAAATAATCAAAATTACATGATCAACTGAGGGCAGAATTTTAACTGCTGTGAAATACTTTATTTTAGAATTAACTTTCGCTGTAAAGACATTTTGGGTGTTTTGTATGGAGTTTATTTTCACTGAGTTTTGATGAGTTGAATGTGAGATATAAGAAAAAAAAGTATATTCGCTGGATTTAATTTCCACTGAAGCATCCCTTCAGCGAAAATAAATTCCAAGCGAAAATAAAGTATTCTACAGTATTTGAGCGAAGAAAGAACCTTGTCCCTGGGTACTCTGGGATTACAATACCGGTGTGGATAAGATAACATCTTATTTATAGCAACATAAAATGGTTGATTTGTTAAGAGTATTCTTCTTAACAGCACCATTAAAGACTAAATCCTTGTCCCATCACTTAAATGTTCAAAGCAGAGTAATGCATGTCATGCTTTTTAGTAATCCACTTTGCTTTAAATTTATTGTCACAAAAATGATGTAATTACTGAAAGTATAAAACATTTCTGATATTGAACTGTGATGGCAGCATGTAGCCATAAAGAAGTCGAGGGAAAAGCAGACGGAAACAACCATACATGTATGTCCATTAATGCATAAAACGTTTTGAAACAAAGTTTAAAATAAATGTCTGCATTCCTGTTTCTATTAGTGACATTTTGTTAAAATGGACCTTTCAGTTTGTATGCGATATCTAGTTCCCATAATGGAATCAATCTATCTGCGTAAAGCTTTCACTCAGACAATTGTCGGGATAAAAACTAATGGATGTTCCGCAAATAGCGGTGGCACTCTAGAAACCAAATAATACGTGCCTGAGAAATTCTTTTAATGGCCAAGATTTTTCGCAGATACCCAAACTGACACAGCACCTTTTCTTTAAAGTTGAAGTGAGCTATTCATTTTTTTTTAGAACAAATTGTCAGTTCTCTAGTAGCGGAAATGCACGAAATCCAATTTCTGCAATCTCTCAATATTCAAAGAATTTCAATAAAATGTTTTCCAATAACGGATGTACAACTAAGAAGAAAAGGCATTATAGGTTATATAAATTTTGTAAACAGTTTAGCAATACAGTGTTTAATTCATTCAAATATGAATAAGGTGCTCTGATTGGCTGTTGACATTTTTCTGTGTCAACGTCCTTTATTCCATGAAGTATAAAGTGTTACAGTAAAATTTAGCTAGGGTAAAGTTGGCGATCAAGCTTATTTTGCTTTCAAAACTGACGAACAGCTAAATAGACCAAGGTCAACTGCCTAAATATGTTATATTAGTAACATAGGTAAATACTACCGTAAAATCTGTATTAGAAGCCGCATCCCTAATAGAAGTCGCATCATTTGTTTTCGATAATTGAGAATCAAAAATTCATCATCTCTCATATGTGTAGATGATCTTATAGAAGCCGCTTCCCTAATAGAAGTCGCATCAATTGTTTTTGATAATTGAGAATCAAAAATCTATCATCTCTCATATGTGTAGATGATCTAATAGAAGCCGCTTCCCTAATAGAAGTCGCATCATTTGTTTTCGATAATTGAGAATCAAAAATTCATCATCTCTCATATGTGTAGATGATCTAATAGAAGCCACTTCCCTAATAGAAGTCGCATCATTTGTTTTTGATAATTGAGAATCAAAAATTCATCATCTCTCATATGTGTAGATGATCTAATAGAAGCCGCTTCCCTAATAGAAGTCGCATCATTTGTTTTTGATAATTGAGAATCAAAAATTCATCATCTCTCATATGTGTAGATGATCTAATAGAAGCCGCTTCCCTAATAGAAGTCGCATCATTTGTTTTTGATAATTGAGAATCAAAAATTCATCATCTCTCATATGTGTAGATGATCTAATAGAAGCCGCTTCCCTAATAGAAGTCGCATCAATTGTTTTTGATAATTGAGAATCAAAAATTCATCATCTCTCATATGTGTAGATGATCTAATAGAAGCCGCTTCCCTAATAGAAGTCGCATCAATTGTTTTTGATAATTGAGAATCAAAAATTCATCATCTCTCATATGTGTAGATGATCTAATAGAAGCCGCTTCCCTAATAGAAGTCGCATCATTTGTTTTTGATAATTGAGAATCAAAAATCATC